CTGTCCCCTGTCCGGTTTGCATAGCGCAAACAGGAGCTTCCTGCCGCAGCAGGCAACCAAATTTCGAGGTTTGGATTTGAATTAAATTTGCCCAGCTCGGAGGACTTCCTTTTACTGCCCAGGGAAGGTTTGCAGCTGCTGCCTGCTCCGCCATGGAAATGAGCTCGGAGCCTGGACAGCTCCCCCGGGCTGCAGAGGTGGCAGGAGGTGRCAGGAGGTGRCAGGAGGTGRCAGGAGGAGCCCCTTGGYCTGTGGACAGAGCAGGGYTGGTGTCACACGGGCTGGGCTCGCCCTATCCCCAGTAAAACCATCCCATGCAAATCCTCTCTCAGCATCCAGGCCACTTYTGAGGGAAATTTGGGYAGTTCAAGTATCCCAAATGCTGCCYTGAGGGCCCAGGGGAKTGGGGATGTTTGGCTGGAGGGACAGGAACGTCCCTGGCACAGCTGGCACCCTCCAGCAGCGATCATTGCCGGTGATCAGAGCGCTGAATCTTTGATCCCATCTGTCCAACAGCTCCTGGAATTACTCCTGAGTGTGTGTACACAGCTGCAGGGCAGGGCCACAGAGGTGCCAGGAGCCACCAGGGCTTTCCCTGCCTGAATTCCAGAGCAGGAACCTCTCCTTGGGCTCCATCACAGCACAGCCCTGCCTTTCACCCCGCTCCTTATCAGCCTTAATCAAAACCTTAATCAGCTCATTTCCTCCCTGCTCTGCTTCCTTTCCAGAGAAATGGGGAGCCTGGATCTTCTGCGGGGTCTGCTCAGCATCCCTGGGGACAGAGAGTGTCCAGCTGCTGATAAGCTGGGTCCAAGATCGTGCTGATAAACTGGGTCCCAGATCATGTTGATAAACTGGGTCCCAGATCGTGTTGATAAACTGGGTCCCAGATCATGTTGATAAACTGAGTCCCAGCCAGCCTTGCCCCTTGCCAGGCACAGATCCTGGCTGGGATTTTTCCACAGAGCTCTGTTGCTCTGCTGCCTCCTAACCAACCGACAGAAATGCCTAAATTTAGTGATCCAGCTCGAAATAATGACCCAGAGCACCCTTTGGCAAAGTTTTGGCTTCAGGGCATCACCTCCTGGGGTCCAGTCTGTGCTAGAGCAGCTGRAGGAGCAGAAATTCTTGATGGAGGCAAAGTTCAGCAGCTGAACGCCCATCCCTGGTGCTCAGCAATAATTCCAAATCCTCTTAAAAAGCATCACAGGGCTTCACCTGGGCAGGTGTGCATCTCCAGAGGAGACAGAGATCCCTTCACCCCGCACAGGACAGCTGCAGCTTCATTCCTGTGCACAGCAAGAGCCACACCCTGCCTAAAGCCTGGGCCTGAGCGTTTTTTTTTGGTGCAGAATCCCCAATTTTGTGTGGTTTTCCCTGATTTCCCATCAGGAAATGGGCCTGGCTGGCAGRAAATTATCAAAACTTCAGCTCTGCYCWTCCCAGACCTCCTCCAGAGAGCTCCCCTCGAACCAACAATCACCGAGGGATCTTTTTCTGGAGCAAAAATCACCCTGAAACAAAAGATGCAGCTGAATTACCCCACATCACGGGCACACAAAGGGGTGCTCAGTTATCTGCCCCGGGCTTTGATTCGGGGTTTTATCCTGCCACACAAACAGGGCTGCTCTTCCAGCTGCCCTTTTCACGAGCAAATACGGATGTTTGCCCTGCACAATGATTTTTTGTCTCTCGCAGGCAACGAGCGAGCGGCCCGGGCTGATTTTGCATCAGATAGACACGCACAACTGCARAGCCAAGGGCAATAAATTGTGAATTTTACAGTTGCACGGGATTCCACGGCTGTTGGAGAGCACAGGGAGCAGGTAAACGGTGAGATCACCCCGCAGGAGCTGTTTTCTCAGGAAGGGCAAACACRGCAGCTGCTTCCTGCTGCTCCCCAAAGGGCTCTTCCCAAATGTCTGCCTGCTGGGAGCGTGTCCATCCCAGTGACTTCCCATGGCTCAGGGGGGTTTCTCCCTTCCTGAAGAGTTGAAGGATGTGGGGATGGATTTTTGGCTGGGTTTGGTGATGCCCAATTCTGGTTTCCCTGCCTGTTTGGTTTCACAGTTAACAGGCACAAAAGTCACAGCCAGAAAAATGGTTGCAAGTCACTTTGAGGTCTCTTTACCAAAAAAAAAAAAAAAAAAAAAAACCAAAAAAAAAAAACCAGAGGCAAATGGCTTGGGGGTTCTGATGCTTTTTCCCCCCTCAAAATCCATGTATTCTGCTGCCAGTAATCCAGGCCCTGCTCCCTGTTTTCCCTTCCAGGACCCAGCTCCTTTTTCCCTGTCAGTGCCCAAAGCTCCCAGCCAGTCTGGAAATTTGGAGATGCTGCAAAGGTGAGCCCCAGCAGCACCCAGGGAATGGTTTATTGTGCCCCTGGATGCCACCACATGCTGGCATCACACTATTGTGTCCCCTTCTGGGGACAGTGTTTCTTTTCTGGCTGGTAATTGTGAGAGAAAAAAAAAAAAAATAAAATAACCAAAAACCTGACAATGAATTGTAGGATCTGACTYGGGTTTCCTGTTGCCATAGAACCACTTTAAGAGGAAATCATCTCTTCCAAGCTGATGCTTGGCCTCCTTCCAGCCCATCTCATCCCTGCAGCTCCCCTGGCGCTCGGAGAGGAGCTGGAAGGAGCTCAGCGTTCGGGGAAGAGCTGCTATTTTCGGGGCCCTGACTTGTCCAAGCTAAAGGAAGTTCACTTGGGAAGGTGTCACGCGTAGGATGTGACAGGAAAGAGGGATTTAACATTGCTGCCAGGCTTGAAAAAGAGGGAAAAGAAGGGTTTTGAGGCATTTGAGGTTCACAGATGTAAAAAATCACGGAGCCATCAGTGATGTTTTGGGGCTGTGAAGGGTTTTTGGTGCTCTCCATCAATATTGACAGAGTCCCAAAGTGTCACTGAAGCAAAGGGGCGGATGAGCCGAGTTTAAGGGGTTAAAAAGGGGGGTGGGACTCACGCTGAGGCGGGAGCTGCTGCTCTGCTGGGATCGGGATCGCTGCTCAGCCAGCAGGTCCTTGACCGTGTGCTTCACCCGCACCCCTTGGTACACGCGCTTGCCGAAATCCGCCGGCACTGCGGGAACAACACGGGCGTTAGAGCACAGGGAGGAGCAAATCCATCCCCTCTGTGCAGTGAGGTGGGAAGGAAAAACATAAAACTGCAATTATTAATATAAAATTATCCCTCAGGAGCCCGTGAGTGAGAGCAAAGACTGGTGTGTCCCAGCACGTGTTTCTGTCCCTCTCTGCCTGCTGAGTTTGGGATTTTGTTTTTCCAAAGGGAATCCCAAATTTCCCCTTTGGGGCAGCAAATTTTTATTGAACTGTGGTTTTCAGCTGAGGGGTTGTGGATCAGCCCTGCTGGAGCTGCTGGATCCCAGCACAGATCCCTGCCAGCCATGAGAACTGGGAAGGGACCTGGAGGGATGGATGGATGGATGGATGGAGGGATGGA